TTGGTGATGGTGGTGATGCTGATTGTGCAGGTGATGGTAGTGGTTGTGGTGGTGGTGGTGATGGTGGCAATGGTGGTGGTGATACTGATTGTGGAGGTGTTGGCAGTGGTTGTGGTGATGGTGGTGATGGTGGAAACAGTGATAGTGATGGTGGTGATGGTGATTGTGGAGGTGCTGGCAGTAGTTGTGGTGGTTTGGTGATGTTGGTGATGGTGGTGGTGATGGTGGTGTTAATGGTTGTGGTGGTGGTGGTGTTAGGTGATGTTGTTGAATGGTGGTGATAGTCACGGTGGTAGTGGTGGTGGTGATGGTGATACTGGTGATGGCTGGAGGTATCACATGCTCATCACTGCTGAGCCTCTGAGGAGTGCCCATAATTAGCCTCTGAGGAGTGCAGGCTGCATTTCTCATTGCCTGGACCTGGGCTAGAGGACAAGGTTACATTGACGTTAGCAGAGTACTCTGGCTGACTCATTTTGGTCACCTTTAGAAGCATGCTTTTATATTTGCTTCGTTAGTTTCCTATTGTTGTTTTGGGTGCAGGGGGCAAGGGAATTGGAGGGAGTGTTCAGTGTGACCCATTTTGTGTGTGTAGGCCAGCTTCCAGCAAGGATTGTAAATGATTCAAGAGTATAAGATCTTAAAAGAAGGGAGTTTGAGATGGCTGGCTACTGTTCCAGTTCTCCGTTCATTGCTAAACTTCTCCACTGAAAAGCTTCATTTATTTTTTCTCTTCTACTATGACCTTTATCTTTTTCAATCCAGTGGGTTTTCTTTTTTCCCCCTGTGTCTCTCATTACTTCTAGGTGACTTTGACACTTTGGAGCAGTGTAAGCCTGGGCAATTCTCCTGCGTGTCCTGTTCTTCTTGCCTTGCTTTTGTTTCTCCATAATACTTGGCATCTGGTGCACCACAGATAATCACTGGATTATTTATTTTTGTTCTCCTCCTTCCATGAGAATATAAGCTCCACAAGGGTAGGATATCCACTGCTTTATTCCCAACACCTGCAACAGTACCTAGCACATAGTTGGTGTTAAAAAAAATTTGTTGACTGAGTAGATGAAGTTATTTAACTACCCTTTCTCCTGTTAGGTCAAATAGATATAATAATGTTAGTCTTATATGGTGACCTTGACGATTAAATAAAATAATGTAAGTAAACTGCCTGGAAGACCCAGCCTAGGGTAGCAAGGCCTGGTGAATTAAAGTCATTCTTGGGTCTAGTTCTTTCCATCTCATTTATCCATCTATTGAAAAGATATGTATCGAGAAGGTGCTAGGTACTTTGCCTAGTGAATGTCTTAGCACATAATGAAGCAAAAAGTGATGCAGAATCTGCCCACATGACCTTACCCGTGATCACTGCACATCATTGTAATGATCACTCATGCTCTGCTGAACACAGAGTGTTCACCCAGTTCTAGGCGGACCCTGGCCAGACATTTTTACTTCTCTGTTTCAGCCTCTCCTCAAGCTTCAAATATCTAAATCTGAACTCATGAGTTGCCTCTCTTTATGCCTGGTGTCTCCCACATTACATGTTTTTTCTGGCTTAATTTAAAAAAAAAAAAAACCACCTGCCATTTTCCTTGTGACACAGGCTCAAAAGTTTGTAATAATTTTGATTACCCCATCTCTTTCACTTCATACTTTGAAGCCACATTCAAGACTTACTGATTGCTTTTATCCTTGAAAAAAGTCTTTAATCTGTCTCTACCTCTCCAGTTTCTCACCACCATTCTAATGTCAACTGCTGTGCCCTGATCCTTGATTTGCTGAAGTGGCTTCAAGGCTCAGTGTTCAATTGTTTTATTATCTTAACGTTTCGCTAAACTGTAAGTCTCCTTAAGGCATGCTGCCTCTGGTTGTCTATTATTGCTTCCCTAACACTGGTGCAGGCACATAGAAGACATTCAGGTGGTTAGTAAATTAAAGTACCTTTGCTGCTGTAGACTACAGTTCTCAAACTTGTTCTGGAGGTTTATCTAATGGTTAAGAGTAGTTTCCCTGGAAGATCATGTAAGTATATTCCATGTAGGCTCTTCTCTATATTTCACTAACATATACCATGTATTTTTAACAAAGTATATTTCTGCTTCCTTCCATGAATGTTTGCTACGTATTTGTTTTACCACCTGCTATCACTCATAAACAGGAAGCTGGCACCAAAGCCCTAGAGAAATTTGTATTTGAAGAGTATAAACCGGTAAATATTTTTTTCTGTTAGAGAATACCACTCTTCCATTTTCCTGGTGCTACTCTATAGAAATATAGTTTGAGAACTACTGAGAGTTACAAAGAAACGATGAGCCATTCAAAGTGTTAGATGTTACTGAGTAGGGTGGGTTAACCCCTGTCTCCAAGACTGCTTTTGCCTATTTAATGAGAAAGAGCTATTTTTTATTTTCTGATGCACTGAAATCTCTGTTTGTGGCTCAGGGGATTGATGGATGTAACATGCATGAGCCAGCAGTCTTCCTCCTCACCCTTTTTCCCCTTGAGCTGTCTATGCCTACCCTTGTGGTTGGGAGCCTTATCTCTCTCCCACCTAGGAGGGAAATGCTGGTTTGTTCAGGCATGGAGGACATTAGTCTGACCTTCACAATTTTCTTCTATTACCACCTCCTTAACTTTTCTCATTAGAAATTAATTGTTTGCACAGTAAGCGAAACTTGTAGAGTAAAAAATCTTTGCATTCTTAAGAATATTTTAAAGAAGTTAGGCTTCTGGCATTTAGGCTTCTGGCATTTCTAAATGTACATTTTGACACTGAGATATCAACCTTGTTGTCCTCTTAGAGGACATATATACTTTCTTCAGGATTAAACTTGGAGCAGAATACTAACTGTAAATAATTAGGTTCCCAAAGAAATCTTTTTATAAATGACTTGACACTGACTAAATCTCTTATTCATTAAGATAGCTGGCCTTTTTATAAGGATAATAACTATAAGTTAATATGTTTATTACATAATAGTATTCAGACTGTTGCAGAAAAACTTGAATGCTATTTAACAAATGACATTCGACCATAGAATTTGACAAATCATTATTTGGACCTAAGTATCTTCCAATAGTGGAGTTTTGGGTATTTTGTTTTTGTTTGTAAGATAAAGAAAGTTGACTTAAAACTTAAGTTCATTTTTCTTCTGTTGTCAGCTATGTAGTGGCAAAACCCAGCTTAGTCTATTTAGTGTTGCTACTACAGAATGCCCGAGGCTACGTAATTTATAAGGAAAAGCAATTTATTTGGCTCACAATAATGGTCACCGAAAAGGCCAAGATTGGGCAGCTGCGCCTGGTGTGGCCTTCAGGCTGCTCCCACCCATGGCAGAAAGCAAAGGGGTTAGCTTGAACAGAGATCAAATGGTGAGAGAGGAAGCAAGAGTGAAACCAAGGAAGCCAGACTCTTCAAAAAGCTGCTCTCTAGGGAACTAATGTCTTTCTTTCTAATGTGTTTCTTCCCCCTCCCTCCCTCCCTCCCTCCCTTCTTTTTATTTATTTTAAGTTCAGGGGTAAAAGTGCAGATTTGTTACATAGGTACAATTGTGTCATGGGAGTTTGTTGTACAGATTATTTCATCACCCAGGTATTAAACCTAGTACCCATTAGTTATTTTTTCCTCATCCTCTCCCTTCTCCCACCCTGCACCCTCTGAAAGGCCCCAGGATATGGTGTCCATGTGTTCTCGTCATTTAGCTCCACCCAAAACTATAAAACCCCGGAAGGCAACCTAAGAAATACCATTTAGGACATAGGCACAGGCAAAGATTTCATGACAATGATGCCAAAAGCAGTTGCAACAAAAGCAAAAATTGTCAAATAGGATCTAATTAAATGAAAGAGCTTCCGCACAGCAAAAGGACCTATCAATAGAGTAAACAGACAACTACAGAATAGCAGAAAATTTTTGCAAACTATGGATCCGACAAAGGTCTAATATCTAACATCTATAAGGAACTTAAACAAATTTACAAGAAAAAAGCAAGCAATGTCATAAAAAAGTAGGGAAAGGACATGAATAGACATTTTCAAAAGACAACATACATGGGGCTGACAAATGAAAAAAAGCCAACATCACTGATCATTACAGAAATGCAAATCAAAAAATTGGAACTAATTTATTTCTGAGTAAGAACTCACTTTCACATCTCTCCCCTGCCACAGGTCCCATGACCCAAACCATCCCTCTAGGCCCCACCTCCCAGCATTGCTACACTGGGAATCAAATTTCAACATGAGTCTTGATGGTTTACATCCAAATGATTGTACTGTGGTACCCAGCAATTATTATAACATTTATTGTGTAAGTTAAGAGATAGGATGAAATTTCCAAAAGCTGTCTTCAGTAGATAAATAGTATCATTCTGTAACAACTGTATCAGATGACATTCATTCAGTAAAAAAGACATCGAATATGTACTAGATGAGGTTTTAGCAGCATCAAAAATAAATATCATCAATACCTTCTTGGAGCTTATACTTTATTGTGGACATGCAAATAAGTGTAGAATTTCAATAGTAAGACGTGCTACGAAGAAAACATGCAGGACAGTGTGGTAGAGAGTGAGGGTGAGGGCTGCTTCTGGTCAGGGAGGCTTCCTCCTTAGGGAGGTGCCACTGAGCCGAGCTGATGCATACATGGGGATAAGAGTGAATTGTACGCAGATCCCAGGGGAGAGCAGGGACTATAAGCGTGAAGATTTGAACAGGGAGCAAGCACTACATGTTGAAGGAACAGAGAGAAGGCCAGGGTGGCTGGAGTGTGGTGAACAAGAGTGATAGTGGTAGGAGATGGGGCCAGGAAGGCTGGCAGGGTTCAAGTGCTATAATGTGCTGCAGGCCATTGTAAGGAGTCTGCATTTTATTCTGCAGGCAGTGGGACACCACCAAGGGTTTTTATCAGGGATACAGCCAGATTTGTAGCCACCAGCTTCACATGCATATCATTGAAAAGTTTCTTTTAAATGGAAATAATTTTTCTTTGTATCTTACAGAATAGACCAGAGGACTGCCATTTGGCCAAAGGATGCTTTTGAAACTCAGCAGGACTTAAATGAGGTAGGTGCAATTATTACTTGCTATATAACATGAATAAGCCAATCATGAGATTTCCTATTCTTTTTCACAGTACTAGGAATTCATTCTGATGAAAACAGTATTTTTGCTTTTAAGTGAACTTGTAATACTTAGAGTTCTTTGTTCATTTGGTAATGTTTTTCCTTGCTCCAGAGCAAACATATTTAAAATATTGCTTATGAGGAAGCTCACGACGCCTTGGCCCTAACCCAAGTCCAGCAGTCATTTTGTTACACGCTTTTCAGCTTTGCTTCAGGATTGTGTAACCATGGCTGTGACAGCATTTGTAAAATTTTCTCTTTATTCCATGTCTCTCTCTCTCTGTCTGTTTTTCCTAACAGCTTCTGCAGTATTTCAGTAACGTCATCATATTTACTGTTTATCCACTGAGAATGATAAAGTTTGGTGTTTGCAATATGGTTTTCTTAGCAGACTTTGAGACATGAAGCTGTATTTTCCAATCTAAATGATTTCCCACCAAACCGGACATCATAACATTAATTAGCTTGTTCTAGACTTTCTTTGGAATATGTAATTGAATTCTCCTATATGAAGTTAATATAATATAATTATGATATCTATTATTATGAATGCCTTTGCTTAAGACATTGGTTCAGAATACTCTGTCTGGCTCTTCTTGTCCTCATTGTAAATTAGTAGTGGGTGATATATAGTATGTCTGATTAGGGCCATAGCAAAGAGAATGAAAACACCTGATGATCAGATGCCAAAAGGAGAAATGATGGGCTCTAGGCAAATTGTTTATTTGACATTTTGAAGATGCAGCCCTCCCTCCTCTTCCTCTCCCACACCACAAAAGGATATTTAACTAAATGTAGGTGATTTTCTTTTTCTTTTCTTTCTTTTTAGTAGAACTTGGTAGAAACAAATAGCTAGAGGTAAACCAGCTTCTTGGTTAAGCCAAGGCAAATCGCTAAAGTTGTAACAAATATCCTAAAGGTAAGAACACAGAATTGCTATTTTTGTGTGTGTGCACACAGACTGGCTCCAAATTCTACGATCTTCCTCATGGTAATGAGTGAAAAAGAGTTTACGAGAAAAAGGCAAGAGCCTGAATCAGTGAACGCAGCTGTCTTCCCCACTGTGAACAAGCAAAATGCTAGTTGTAAAGGAACAAAGGTTTGTTTTGACATAAGTGACTGGAAAAATGAAGTGATTGTAAGAGTCAACTCACAATAACTTTCAAGTATTTGGGAGAAACTGTTTTTTGAGCTGCAAACCCATGAGAATGCCGAGATCACTTGAACATTCCCAAATTGCAGTTGTGAAAAGCTATATTTTAAAGTCTGCTTTTCTGTATTCCTTCACTACATTGTATTTGCAAATGACATGAAATGTGCCAGCTCGTTGCACTGGTCGCCTGTGCGTAAGAGTGCCGGATGGAGAGGTCCATCTGAAGCAGCAGGCAGTGCCGTATTTTAAACATGCACCCTTCCATGCAGAGGTGGTGCTGCTGATCCAGACCGGTTGAATACAGTATGTGCTGACAGTGGTTTTCTTCCAGTCAGAGAGTGAACTATATAGACTGACCCACATTCTTTCACGTAGTTTCCGTCATGGCCAAAATGCGTGATACGAGAAAAGAGCTTGGGGAAACTTGAAGAAGGTGCAGTGTGAATGGGACAGAGGCCATCCAGGAGGGTGGGTGTGTTCACACTCATGGATTGAAATGCCCTGCAGAGTGGGAATCTATTTAACTACATCATTCCTAGCAGTTTTCAACTTATTGAATACCAAGCTCTTTTATGGAAGAACCACCTAATAACATTTCTATAGGTGACAGAGTCCCTATGAAACACTAATGGAAAACATTGCTATAATATTTTTAATGGGAATAGAAAATACATACAGAAAAGTGCACAGATCATAAGTGTACAGCTGAATGAATTCTTAGAAAGTATACAACCAGAACATAAATCAAGAAACAATATGACCGGCATCTCAGATGCCTGTCTGTAATTCCTTCCAGTCACTATCCTCCTGTAAAGATAACTAGTATTTTTTAGTGTTTGATTCATGGATTACGTACTTTCTTTTGTATCTGGCTTCATCTGCTCCATATTGTGTTCATGAGGGCCATTCATGTTTGGTAGATAGTTGTAGTTTTCATTTGCCTTGCTGCAACTTATTGTATACTTGTTTCTGGTTGCTGACTATTAGAGCTGTTATCTATTGTACATATTTTTATTATTATGAGCTGTTCTGGCCTCTTTGTAGAGCTGGCTTTTTACAGAAGTATGCTTCTCATCTCTAACATGTAAGGTAGAATTTTCTGTTATGTTAGCTCTCTTCATTGCATTTTGTTCCTTTCTTTTGTTTATTCACCACCTCCCCTCGCACCCTTAGAAAGAACCTACCAGTTCCGTAACTGCACTCTCTTCCATACCAACTTGCAAGTCTAACATCAAAAAAGAGTTTCTTGAGCCTCATGAAAATCACGGTCCACAAGTGTTTTCAAGATGTTTCCATATGTTGTACGTAAGTAGTAATTACAAGATGCTGCATACATGCCTTATACATTCCTGGATTTTTACATCTGGTATTTCACTTCTATTTGTGCTTGTTTGTCCACTTGCTCTGTGACCAGCAGATAGTGCTCAGCCTGATTCCAGAGCTGGCAGTTGACTCAAGGTCCTTTCCACCTGGCACAGGGATGCGTGGTGCATGGTCTAACATATCTGCATATGTTGTGTCTGTGTGTGTTTCTCATACTTTCCTAGTGGGCTGAAGCACTCACTAACTTCCAGTTTTCACTTGGTATGAGTATAGATTTGACACCTGCCCATCTCATTTTTCTTCTGCCAGTCTAGAGCTCCCAGTTTTTGACTTTGAGTCTCTTGGTAGGAATTGCAATTTTTATTCCACATTTTTGATGTCTCTGAGACTAGGGTACAGGAATTTTTTCCAAAAAAAAAAACTGATTAAATCTCCCTACTGCCATCACCTGAGCTGTATGATTCTGCCTCTTTAAGACATAGATTATGGGGGTTAGGATCCTTTGAATCCTGACTGGAAAATATTCCTAGAGTTGAGATCTGTCAGTGTCTCATCTATCTTATCCTTGGTCTTAGTCTGCCAGTCAGTATAATTCATAAGCATTCAATAGATCAGAAAGGTACTTGAAAGATAAAATGAAGAAAAATGATTGTTTTTACTCTCTGCATGCTTGTAGATCACCTTTCTTGCTTTGATTTCAGTTAAGAAAAATAACATATTTATAAAGAAAACTAATAAATCTCCCCTTCTCTGAAAAAAAAATGCCATATTGGGTCCTCAAAGTACTGTTTCCAACTGCCAGACTATGTATGAAAGAGCACTACATCAATTTCTTTTAGCTTTTGTTTGTAAAATAAGGCAGGAAGTTTTGAACTGGGTTAACTCTAGGTGTCCTTTCAGATATTTTTTAAGTTTAATTACATTTTTAATTGACAAATAATAATTGTACATTTGTATTATTTATGGGATACAATGTGTTGTTTTGATACATGTATACATTATAGAATGAACAAATCAGAGTAATTTGCATATTCATCACCTTGAATATGTAGCAGTTCTTTGTGATGACATTTCAAATCCTCTCTTTCAGCTAATATACAATATATTATTATAACTATAGTCACCCTGTGGTGCAACAAAACACCAAAACTGATTTATCTTGTTTAACGGAAACTTTATAGCCGTTCACTAATGTCTCCCGTTTCCCTGTCCACCTTCTCCCCACCGGCCTCTGGTAACCCTGTTTTACTCTCTACTAAAAGTTTGACTTTTTAAGATTCCACTTATAAGTGAGATCATAGAGTATTGAGGCCTTTCCACTTTAACATTCATTGATTCTACCCTTTTTCCATTTCCCCAGTGCTTTCAGAATGTAGCCATAGCTTCCCATCAGGGATGGAAGGAGGAAAACCAAGTAACTCATGGTTAAGGCCTCCTCCTGGTCAACCCACCATCTGAAGCGTAGTTTGGGGAGTAAATAGTAAGTGGTGCAAGTGATATATATGGAAGTGATATATATGCTTAGCATAGTTATTTATCAGTTTCACATGAGAGAGAGGCCACATTATTGTAAGTGGAAGATTGTGGTCAACTGGGGATCCAAAGTGGTACAGCCGTCTTAAGGAGCAGGCTGAAGCTCTGGGTCACCATGGACCTTCTTCTTTATTATACTCAGCCAACCCAACTCCTGTGTCATCATCCTGCAGAAGGAAGTGGTCACCTCAAAAACTATTCATGGCATCTGTGCTCAGGAAAAACACTTTATTTTCTTATCTGATAGATACTTTGAAGGTATTCTGCATTTGCCTTTTGGATAAAACGATGTCAGTTGAGTGAATATGAGTTTGTTTTCATTTTACTTCTTACTTGGAATCTCAAGGCCATATAGGTATGGTCAGCCACAAGCCAGTTGACCTTGAAGGAGAAGCTTTGCTGACCTTACATGGCGTCTTTATTTCCTTTGTCTTTGAGGCTTATTGGCCATGAAACTGTCTTGTGCTGGCATTGACCGTCTCTATCGTTTATCCTCTCTAGGCCTAAGAAGGCAGCTTATAAATCTGAAAAAAAAAAAAAAAAAAAAAAAAAAACAATTTTGCCACGGGTTAATGGGTTTACCAAGAGAGACGTGTTGGGCACAAAGAAGCAGATGCTAAATCCTGGAATGGGAAAATGGATAAATGTGGCGTCAGTCTTTGCACAGCAATAAATGCTATATCTCCAATGGTGAGGATTTCAAGGTAGCTAAGACTTCTAGGTGGATATACTGACTTTTTTTTTTTTGTCCCCAGAATCAAACCACAGAGACAGCTGTCTGTCTCCCCCATGTATGTTTCCCCCATGGTAAGGAGTGTAAGTGGGATGACTCATTGTAGGAACATAGAAAAATCTAAAACCTGGCCGGGCATGGTGGCTCACACCTGTAATCCAAGCAGTTTGGAGGCCTCAACTCTGAGGTCGGGAGTTCAAGACCAGCCTGACCAACATGGTGAAACCCTGTCTTTAAAATAATAATAGTAATAGTAATAATAAAAAGAAAAATCTAAAACCTTAATAGAATTAGGAGGACAGAATAAGTTCAGTTGCAGGGAGCAAAAGAAAAGGGTAGAATCAATGAATGTTAAAATTGAAAAGCCTCAATCCTATATGATCTCCCTTATAAGTGGAATCTAAAAATAAGTCAAACTTTCAGAAGAGAGTAAAATAGGGTTACCAGAGGCCGGTGGGGAGGAGGTGGATGGGGAAAAGGGAGACATTAGTGAATGGTACAAAGTTTCAATTAGACAGGATAAATCAGTTTGGTGGTTTATTGTACCACAGGGTGACTATAGTTATAATAATATATTGTATATTAGCTGAACGAGGGGGATGGAGACTATGTTTAGAAGGTTTGAGATTCTGAAGTTTATGGCAACTTGCTGAGACAGCCAGGCATAGTTAAGGGGAAGGAACACTGGAATGAGGAATTATGAAGCCAGGCATTAGCATGATTGTCAGCCTGGACATTGAAGTAACTGAATATGTCAGGGGCCACTGATGGAGAGGAAGAAATCAATCCAGATGGAAGTCACAGTGTCCTGTAATAATATCCAGGTTATGGAATGAGAAAGGATGGTATTGTCTTTTGTAAGGGAGAAGAAATTGATAGATTCAACAGTGAGGGTTAAAAAAGGATGATAATCTATTCTTCCCAACTTGCTTCCCCATTTCTAACTCTGTGAGGTAGAGAGCAGGAAAGAGAAATGATTTTTGAGGGTGGAGAAATTTCAGTCACGTGATTACTTCATGAGGAATGTTAGCACTGTCACACTGGCTAAGCCATTTCACCTGGTAACTAGTAAAACATAAAACATCTGAAAGAGGCAAGCACAAGTTCTCTGATACTGCATTGTACTCCCTTTATGAGTGCTTAGCCCATTTATACCTGAGGTTACAATTTTTTAAATTTTTGCAATCGGACCTTGGCGATGACCTTGAGCAGGATATAAATAACTCCCACATGTTTAGCATTCCAATAATGGAACACTAGGCATAAATGGGTTAGAGTGCGAGGATAATAGCATCTCTTTAATGGAAAGAATATTAATATAACTCTATTCTGAAGACTCAATTATGAGCGTTCTTGGTATTTATAGAATAGTGTAGGAATATTTTTGCTGTTAATTGAGCCTACAGGGCATTTTAAAGGTGTATTCTGCCTCTGTTGCTGCTTTAACTTAGTATTGACTTTATAAAAAAATAGCCAGGAGATTTCCAGGTTTGTGTGTGGTATCATTACTCTCATTGGTTATTGAGGAACCAGAGGAAGAGGAGATGCTTAAAATGAGCATGGATTCAGACTTGTGCTGTGCTATATTCCAACTGTTGTTCTGCCCTAAGAGGACAAATTCCTTACAAATGCCATTAGAATCTAGAGGAAAAGACTATCTTGTAATAAAATCCTAGCAAATGTAATAAATTACTAGCATGCAACAGATGTTCAATAATGACCTAATATCAGCATTAAGAAGTTTAACCTTGGGCCAGGTGCAGTGGCTCACACCTGTAATACCAGCAGTTTGGGAGGTAGATCTCAAGGTCAGGGGTTTGAGATCCACCTGAGGCAGGTGGATCTCAAGGTCAGGGATTTGAGACCAGGGTGGCCAACATAGTGAAACCCTGTCTCTACTAAAAGTACAAAAAATTAACAGGCGTGGTGGTGGGCTGTAACCCCAGCTACATGGGAGGCTGAGGCAGGAGAATCTTTTGAACCTGGGTGGTGGAAGTCACAGATTTCTTAGATCACACCACTGCAGGCAATAGTGCCAGACTCCATCTCAAAAAAAAAAAAAAAAAAAAAAGCTTAACCTTGGATCTGTAATTGCAGTCTTACAGTCTTATTCTACAAAGGAGACACATATTTTTATTTAGCTCGGTGTGGAAGAGATGATTTGTTAACCTGAAATCAATATGAAAAATTAATCTTTCATCATATACTACTGTTAACTCTTATCTATTCAATTATGCTGGTCATAATAACTCAACTTTAGCCTCAATGTCAAAGATATCTATGAAGAATCCTTGAATATGTTAATTTTGTTAAAAGTAGGACAATTTGTACTTGTGCAGTGTCCCTCTTTGAGTCGGTATACCTGTGTCTGTGACTTTGTGTATCTCCATGTGGAGGACTGGAGTGTGTTTTTATCGGCATCCGCAGTTTATCATATAGATATTTTGGCATAAAGCCATATCAGGCCTCAAGATGGTACTTACTGTTGTGTTCAAGATGTGTTTCATCCTCAAAATTGTGTTAATTTCATGAAAATGATCTAGAAAGAGGCTTCTTCTGCCTTTAACATTCCTGAGGTGACAGAATGGTATTATTTCTGTAGGAATAGGCAGCTGTATTTTTCTATTCAACTCTGCAAACCCAGTCTGTAGGGTTAGGCCTTAGCTCAGGATTGATTGAGGAATTTTTTAAAAAAGTATTCTGGATTCTTTCCATG